CAAAATAAGATATGTGCAGTGTGCATAGGAATTTGTTCATAGTTTTTTTTTTTAACTATAGTCCGGCCCTCCAACGGTCTGAGGGACAGTGAACTAGCCCCCTGTTTAAAAAGTTTGAGGACCCCTGTCATAGAGGGTGGTCAGTTCAATCAAGGCTAAATAGCAAACTTTCTTCATGTCCTGGGTAGTTAGGTTACCAATCCTGGTGGTACCTGTTTTGTTTTTTGGCAATCTGAAATTAGGTAATGGGGCATTGTTGCCTTTGCTTTTCTGGTTCCTATCCTGGAGCTGTCTTTCTGATTGACGGCTTGCTCTGCAGGTGATACCTCCAGGTTGATAACTATTTCAGAGGCAGGTGCCTCCTCAGGCACCAGTGGCATCAGCTTCTTTCACCAACAACTAGGATAGATGCCTGGTCATCTTTTCCTTGGTATTTTTTATTTATTCTAACTGACTGTGATTCACTGCCACCTGGAGCTTTTTCTTTGGACTCTGCCTACTAAGCAAATATGTCTCTGACAACAGGAATGTGGTACTGTTTGTTCTTTTTCCTTAAAGTCTGGGAGATATTCTCTACCCATTTCTGAACAGCTGCTGCCTGGTTTGGGTTAATGTTGATAAAAACACCATGCTTTCTTGGGGATCTCCAGCAGACTCTCCAAAGAGATTAGACAAACCAGCCTCCTTCAGCCACTCTTCTAATTCACCCATGTCAGGCTCTTTGATAACCACCACCTCTTGATTTTGTCTGTTCTCACTAGATTTCTTGATATTGTCAATTTCATTCCAATAGTCCTCCATAGATAGTTCATCCATGGGAACTTGACTGATCAAATGGAGGCTTCTCCTTAGCTTTGGTGATTTCTTGGTTCATACTGGCCATATCTGCAACTTTTGCGACAGTGTGGATGGACCTGGACAGCATTATGCTCGAGGTGGCTTCCTCCCCTCCCTGGCCATGGCTCTCTCCTATGGCCCAGTCTTTGCTGCTGTGGTGGTAGGCAGTTAACACTACTCCCTGGGAACTGGAGAGAGAAGGGGCATAATCTGTGATCCTGACACTCTCATCACTTTTAATATTTCATGCCAATCCCTTCTGGCCTGAAATATTCTGTTGAGAAATCAGTTGACAGTCTTATAAGAGCTCTCTTGTAGGTAACTGACTGCCTTTCTCTTGCAACTTCTAAGATTATCATTTTGTTATCTCTGTCTTTAACTTTTGCCATTTTAAAAAATATTTTTTTTTATTGATTTCAGAGAGGAAGAGAGAGATAGAAACATCAATGATGAGAGAGAATCATTGATCGGCTGCCTCTTGGGATTAAGCCCGCAACCCAGGCATGTGCCCTAACCGGGAATAAAACCCTGACCTCCTGGTTCATAGGTCGACACTCAACCACTGAGCCATGCTGGCTGGGCTAACTTTTGCCATTTTAATTATGATATGTCTTGGTGTGGGCCTCTTTGGGTTCATCTTATTTGGGGGGATTTGTATGTCTTTTTCCTTCACCATGTTAGGAAAGTCTCCAGTCATCGTTTCTTCAAATTGGTTCTGGATGCCTTGCTCTCTCTCTTCTCTGTCTGGGACCCCTATGATGTGGATGTTGTTACATTTCACGTTGTCATAAAGGTCCCTTAAACTATACTCATTTTTCAAAATTCATTTTTCTTTTTGCTGCTCTAATTGGGTGTTTTTTCCTATTTTATCTTCTAAATCACTGATTCTATCCTCTGATTCATTGAGCCTACTGTTTATTCCAGGGGTCCTCAAACTACGGCCCGCAGGCCACATGCAAATACAAATATTGTATTTGTTCCCGTTTTGTTTTTTTACTTCAAAATAAGATATGTGCAGTGTGCATAGGAATTTGTTCATAGTTTTTTTTTAAACTATAGTCCGGCCCTCCAACGGTCTGAGGGACAGTGAACTGGCCCCCTGTTTAAAAAGTTTGAGGACCCCTGGTTTATTCCTTCAGTGTTTTCTTTATTTCAGATAAGCCATTCTTCATTTCTGACTTGTCCTTTTTTATGGTTTCTGTGTCCTTTTTTATGCTGTTGAGCATCCTTATAAAAATTAGTCTGGGCACTATATCTGATAAATTACCTCCATTTTATTTACCTTTTCTGGAGAATTCTCTTGTTCCTTCATTTGGAGACTGTTTTTTTGTCTTCCCATTTTGGCTGCCTGTTTATGTTTGTTTCTATGTTTTAGGTAGATCTGCCGTGACTCCCAGTCTTGGTAGGGCAGCCTTATGTAGTAGGTGTCCTGGGGGACCCAATGGCACAGTCTCCCTGATCACCTGAGCTCAGTGCTCTAAGAATGTCCCTTGTGCATGTTATGTGAGTCCCCTCTTGATTGCTCTTGGTCCGATCGGGTGTGGGATCAATCCTCAGACCCGGTGACAATGAGACTCAACTCTAAACACAGTGTGCAGGTTGCTGTGCAGGTTGCTCTTCAGGTGCTGATCACATGAAGCCAAATTCAACTCAGCAGGGTCTGGTGCCTGCTGAGATCTCTCTGTGATGTGCTGCTTGTGAAGCTTATTGGAACCTGCTCTGTTGTTGTCTGGAATTAGCCACTGGGTGTATTGGTTCTGGGCCTCTTTGGAGGGACTCTGGTACCGGCCAATGTCACAGGCTGTCTGTGTCTGGCCCTGGGCAATCTGTTGGGAGTTATCTGCATTCCACAGCTTGTGACTCACTCTGCATGTAGAAAGGACCAAGCTGCACACCAAGGTCTGCTTTTACTAGCCCTGGTCCCAGGAGAATCTCAGGCAAAGACTCAAAGCACCCAGAGATCTGCCACTGCCTAAAGGTTGGCATTTGGGCTCAGTCACTTAAAGAGACTCATGCTGTATTCTTCAGCTAGGTTTAAGCTCCACAGGGTGGGATGAGAGGGATTCCAATGGGTGGGGCTATTGCTTCCCTCCAGGCTGATGCTGTATGAAGGGGAATGCTTTGCTTGAAAAAGATGGCTTCTGTAGTATGGGAGAATGACTCAGCACAGGGATCCTGGTGGCTGACCTCTCAGCTCTCTTCCCAGAGCCACGAACCCTGGTCTCTCCTCATGCAGCTCTAGTCCACTCTGCCCTCCCTCCGTAGGAGCCCAGGGTGAGTGGTTGCAAATGAAATTTTGTGTGTTGCCCATTTAAGAGGGTGCCTACATCTCTAGTCATCTTGATGGCAGAGAGAAACTCCACTGCTTTTCACAGCCAGATGTTATATGGACACCTTTCCCAGTTCTGGTGCTCTGAGCTGGGGAGCCCCACTTGGGGTTTAGATCCCAGAGTTCTCAGAGAACCCCTTGCAGCTTAGGTATCCCTTTGGAACTTCAGCTGCCACAGTGGGAGCCTGGCCAGCCCTCTCAACTCCATGCTTTCTACCAGTCTTGATGTGCCTCTTCTGTAAGTCCTTGGTTATAGGCTTCTCTCCACCTAGTCTTCAGTTGGTTACTCAGGATGATTTTTCTATAATTTAGTTGTAATTCCAGTTTGGTCCTGGGAGGATGTGAGTGCAGCTTCCACCTAATCTGCCGCCATCTTAGATCCTCAAGACTGCTCTTTAAATATTGGTGTTGTGTAGGCTACAGGCTCTGTTTTCTCATGGACATGTTCTCCTTAGAAAATCTTAATCATTTCTATAGCTTCATGTTCTGTCTGATGAAAACTTTAAAGTCCATATCTACACTTGCATTATAAGCCAATAATTAAATTTTCCTAGTATACTTCTCTAGTCAGATATTCTGTAGTAACCCAAAATTTTAAATGTCATTTGAAATAATACTCATCATCTCTTTCTCATCTTTATTCTGCTTTTCCCCTTCTTTATTTTAAACTTACCAGTTTTCCCTATGTCTTTTTTTTTTTAAATATAATTTATTGATTTTTTACAGAGAGGAAGGGAGAGAGATAGAGGGTTAGAAACATCGATGAGAGAGAAACATCGATCAGCTGCCTCCTGCACATCTCCTACTGGGGATGTGCCCGCAACCCAGGTACATGCCCTTGGCCGGAATCGAACCCGGGACCCCTCAGTCTGCAGGCCGACGCTCTATCCACTGAGCCAAACCGGTTTCGGCCCTATGTCTTTATTACACAGTACTCCTAGGCAGTCACTTTAAGTAATAGCAGCTTCTTTGCATTCGCTTTCATGAAGATATTCCATATTTAATTAGTCTTCAAGTTCCAGGAGTTCCTTCTGAGTTTCTTTCAGACCTGTTCTTTCCATTCTGTTCTATGCTATTTGGGTTTAGGGCTTCATCATCTCTCACCTAAATGGTTTCTTAGCTGTTTCTCTTTGGTGTCGTCTGTCTTTATTCTAATCATTTGTGTGTGTTTTTTTGCTCTGACTCACCCACATATATTGTTTTCATGTTAAGAAAATAAAAACTCAAGTTTTAAAAACTGATCATGTCTTTAGAGAGAGCAGGGACCAGTTCTTATTTTTCTTTTTAGCTGTACTACTCTTCTTCTTCGTACCTGGCATGTAGTAGGCCTATGTTGAATGAAAATGGATACTGTGTTTGAATCTTTACCTACTATCTTGAAAATACTGGTTGCTATCTTGAAAATACTGGTTCTTTTACTGTTTAATTTTGATATTTTTAAGTCTACCAAGTAATTGGAAGCATTAAAGATCCTGTGTATTAAAATATTAAATTAAAAAAGAACTAATTACTGTTTTAAAGAAGCTTTGTAGTATTTTTCCGTCAAAAATGAAGTGGCTGCTCATTGGTAGGTCCAAGCAAAATTTATACAGTGTATTATTATAGTATATATGCCAGTTTTCCTGACAATAAAATAATAATTAGTATTATTATTGTTGCTATTTTAGTTTAGATTGCAGGAAACTTGATGTTATGTAATTTTAGTAGTGTGATTTGTTTGACTATACCAAGACAGTACTATATATATATATATATACACACACACACACACACACACACACTAAACCTGATACTAATCTGCTTATTATTTAAAATATTTCTAATTTTCCTTTAGGACCAATTTGGACAACATATAAAATCAGATGTGCACTTGAATTTTTATGTTTATTATGGTCCTGATCGTATTAGAGACCCGGCTTTGCTTTCAAAACAGGATATTGTTTTGACTACTTACAATATTTTAACTCATGACTATGGAGTAAGTATACTGATACTCAGAGATTTTCAAAAGTTTAATTTAAGAAATATGCTTCAGGTTTCTCAAGTGTTCCAAAATGTAAGCTTCATACTTTTTTTCTTTCTAAATACTTAAGAATACACAGTAAATAAACAGGAATTTATGTTTTAATATTATGCAAAAGAAATGGTTGGCCTTTAGATATTAATGTAGGAATACATTCCATTTAGAACACTTAAAGATCAATTTTTAAATTTGAATTTAAACTAACTACATAACAATTTGTAAATGAATTTTCTTTTAACTATTATAGAATATTATTTTCTATCACAATGATTTGATTGTCTCAGTTTAAAAATAAGCTTTTTCGTAGCTGAAATTTGTGTTTCCCAATTTATGTAAAAGTCTAATTGTTGTTTGCCTATAATTCCAGTTTTTAAGTTAAAACGTTTTTGAAAATACCTTATTATAAAAATTTCAGTCTTTTTAAAATTATTAAATATATTTTTATTGATTTCAGAGAGGAAGAGAAAGGGAGAGATGGAAACATCAATGATGAGAGAGAATCATTGAATTGGATGCCTCCCGAATGCCCCCCACTTGGCATCAAGCCTGCAACTTGGGCATGTGCCCGAGCTGTGAATTGAACCATGACCTCCTGGTTTATAGGTCAACACTCGACCACTGAGCCACAATGGCCAGGCAAAATTCCAGTCTTCTGATAAGAACATTTACTTTTACATAAAAGAAAGTAGTTATATTGTATTCAAGTATTTCTTGTGAGTGATAATTTTTATATTATCAGTGTACAGAGGTCCGGTGCACGAAAATTCGTGCACTCGGTGGGGGGTTCCTCAGCCCATCCTCCGCCCTCTCACAGTCTGGGACCGCTTGGGGGATGTCTGTCTGCTGGCTTAGGCCCACTCCCTATGGGCCTAAGCCAACAGTCAGACATCCCTCTTGCAGTCCAGGAGCCCTCGCTCCTTACCACCTGCCTGCTCACTGCTTCTTACCGCTCAGCTCGCTGCTTCTTAGTGCTGCCTCAGAGGCAGGAGAGGCTCCTGCCACCGCCGCTGCACTTGCCCAGCTTCTGGCTGAGCGGCACTCCCCCTATGGGAGCTCACTGACCATCAGGGGGCAGCTCCTGCATTGAGCGTCTGCCCCCTGGTGGTCAGTGCACGTCATAGCGACCAGTCATTCCAGTGTTCAGTCGATTTGCATATTACCCTTTTATTATATACCATTTTAATCTGAGGCAGAGTACTTCAGTGTACTGGACCAAGATCACAGCAGATCAAGCCTGGTTTGATTACCTGGCTTTGAATGCTAGCTCTTCCACTTCCTAGCTGTGGTACTTTGAACAATATACTTCACATCTTGGTGCTTCAATTTTCTCATCTGTAAAAAAAGAGTAATAATACTTCATAAGCTTGTAAACATTCCCTAATTTAATGTATGCAATGCTGAAAGCCATACCTAACACATAGTAAGTTGATATCGAGAATACTAATTCATATTACTTATCAAATTACATAAACTACTATTTTACTTTCTTATGTTTTTCATTCATATGAAACATTTATTTCAGATGAAAGGTGATAGTCCATTACATAGCATAAGGTGGCTAAGAGTGATCCTGGATGAAGGACATGCCATACGAAATCCAAATGCTCAGCAGACTAAAGCTGCACTTCATTTAGAAGCAGAAAGAAAATGGGTATTGACAGGTAATGATAGCATTACAGTTTTTAAAAAATTAATTCCCAAATATGTATTGTTAAGTGAGTTAGTAAGGTAACTTTGTAAACTTCAAGTGGATATAAAGACTGTTCCAATATTAATCCTAGCAATCATTTAATAAAATATTTGACTTGTTCAGTTTATGGGACAACTAGACTTATTCTTGAACTGTGGACATTTATTAGATACAATGGGGCCTTGACTTACGAGTTTAATTTGTTCCAAGACCGAGCTCGTTAAGGAGCTCGTTAACTCAAATCACTCTGTCAACTCAATGCAAAAAATCGGCCCTGAGACAGCTGGTATCTCAAAAAACTCGTTAGTCGGGACACTCGTAAGTCAAGGCCCCACTGTACTTTAACCCTTCAATTAGAATCTTGATTTCTCTACTTTCCATTTTGGAGTCTGCTTTACTAGAGGATGGGGAAGAGAATATGAAATCATATTAGTTTTTGCTTTCTTTCTAGTGCTGTTGATTTAAAAATCAAGTAAGCAATGGATTGGAAGAATTAACATCATTAAATGTCCAAACTACCCAAAGCAATCTGTAGATTCAATGCATTCCCTATTAAAATACCAATGGCATATTTCACAGATCTAGAACAAATACTCCAAAATTTTATATGGAACCAAAAAAGACCCTGAATAGCCACAGCAATCTTGACAAAGAAGAACAAAGTTGAAGGGATCACAATACTGGATATTAGGTTACACTACAAAGCCATTGTAATCAAAATAGCCTGGTACTGGCACAAGAACAGGCAAATAGATCAATGAGACAGAACAGAGAACCAGAAATCTACCCAAGCCATTAAGCTCAATTAATATTTGATAAAAGAAGCAAGAGCATACAATGGAGTAAAGACAGTCTCTTCAATAAATGGTGTTGGGATAATTGGGCAGATAAATGCAAAAAAAATGAAACTAGACCACCAACTTAAACCAGACACAATAATAAGCTCAAAATGGATAAAAGACTTAAATGTAAATCATAAAACCATAAAAATCTTAGAAGAAAACCTAGGGAGCAAAACATCAGACACCTCACATAGTGGAAATTTCACTGGTATATCTCCTAGGGCAAGAGAAACAAAGGAAAAAAAACACAAGTGGGACTCCATCAAACTAAAAAGTTTCTGCACAGCAAAAGAAACCACCATCAAAATGAAAAGGGAACCAACCAACTGTATGGGAGAAATATTTGCCAATGATACATTTGATAAGGGGTTAATATCTATAAACTTCCAAAAAAGACATACAGTTGGCCAGGAGACATGAAAAATGTTAAAAGTCACTAATCGTCAGAGATGCAAATTAAAATGACAATGAGGTACCACCTCACACCTGCCAGAATGGCTACCATCAATAAATCAACAAATGACAAGTGCTGGGGAGGATGTGGAGAAAAAGGAAACCTAGTACACTGCTGGTGGGAATACAGACTGGTACAGCCACTATGGGAAACAGTGGAGTTTCCTCAAAAAAAGTAAAAATGATGCTGCAATTTGATGCAGTGATTGATCCACTTCTAGGAATATATCCTAAGAATCCTGAAACGTCAACCAGAAAGAATGTATGCACCCCTATGTTCATAGCAGTGCGATTTACAATAGCTAAGTTCTGGAAATAGCCTAAGTGCCCATCAGCAGATGAGTGGATAAAAAAGCTGTGGTACATTTACACAGTGGAATGCTATGCAGCTGTAAGAAAGAAGGCTCTGTTTCCTTTTGGGACAACATGGAGGGACCTGACCATTGTCATGTTAAGCAAAATAAGCCAGTCAGAGAAAGACAAATATCACATGATCTCACTTGTGGAATCTAATGAACAAAATAAACTGATAACTAAAATAGAACCAGAGGCATGGAAACATGGAACAGACTGACAAATCTCAGAGGGGAGGGAATGTGGGAAGAGATTAACCAAAGAATTTATATGCGTATGTGCATAACCCAGGGACATAGACAATAGGGTGGTGAAGCCCTGGTGCAGGGTGGAAACTGGGTGGAGGGGAGCAATGGAGAGAGAAAAAAAAGGTATGATATCTGTAATACTCTCAATAATAAAGATTTTTTTTAAAGTCAAGGAAATTTTCTAGGTAAGGAGAAAGTTGAGTTTAGTGGGTGTGTAGTCTTTTTATTTGTTAGTATGGCAAATGAGAGCTAAAAATTAGAGCAAACTGTATTTTGAGATTACGTATATGTCTAAGAAGGGATTATAGTCACAGGTTGATGGTGGGTGTGCCTGGTACAGAGTGTCCATTTTGAGCTATTGTCTCAATTCAGCTAGATAGATATCTGATTGGATATTCTGGTTATAGAATTGTAACTATTTCATGTTATTTTTAGGTACTCCAATTCAGAATTCTTTAAAGGACTTGTGGTCTCTTCTTTCCTTTTTAAAACTAAAACCATTACTTGATAGAGAGTGGTGGCATAGAACAATACAGCGACCTGTCACAATGGGAGATGAAGGAGGACTTAGGTAAGTAATTTCATGATAACTGATTAGTTACAAATAACTGTTAGCAGCTTGAACCAATTTCCACTTTCATTACTATTTAACTTGGCTATTGGCTTTAATCTCCAAAAAGTGTTACCACTTTATGCCTTTGACTCTCAGAACCTAGTGATTCTTGTTTGGGGAGATAAAGATTTAAGTAGTAACAGGAAAAACTTTATAGGCCCTGAGGGTCCAAAATGCACTCAAATTTCATAACTTATCTTGTATAGCTTTATACAGTGGTAATTTAATGATGGAATGATGTACAGTAGCATCAAGAGTTTTATAAGAGAAAGTTATTTCTGGTGGAGAGAGGTAAAAGTTAAGAACATAAATAAAATTCAGCTTGGCAATAGCCATTTTTACAAGGTACTAGGCTAATGTATTTTAACTTTTTTGCCTAGAATATTGGTTTTCAAACAGAGGGTTTGGGATTATCTAGCCGGTTATGAAATTACTTAAAGAAGAGGGCAGTAGCATTATAAGATTAAAGAAACAAGCAGAGTGCATCACACATGGTATTTTGTGGAATGTTTGTTTCTGTTGTATGTGTTTGTTTATATGTTTGCTGAATGGACTGAAATTTGTTTCTTACTCTGGGTTTTAGTGAAAAAGATTCAAAACCCACTAACCTAGCTTGTAATACTGCCTCTTTGATTCCTTCAAATCAGCTATTTAAATTCTAATTTAAGAAATGGTATTTATATTTCAGTGTTAGGAAAAACCTTTTTAAAAAAAAATTGGCATGCCTCCTTTTATTCTGATACTGAAAAGGGGGAGTGTCAAATTATAGAACCTATAAGGCATTTGTCCCTCTTCTGGGTTGTTATATTGTGTTATTTTTTTCATTACTTAATAAAATTTATTTATGTACCTTGATTTTCATGTTACTAAAATACTTTTTGAAGGTGTTATATTTTTATGATATTTAGTATAATTCCTTTTGAAAGGGCGAGGGCTAGGCCCTCCACCTTGCCCCAGGGTAAGGGCTATGCCCTCCACCTTGCCCCAGGGTAAGTGCTCCATCTTACCTTGGCCACGTGCTTGGCAAGGAGCTTCTTCCCGGAAGTCTAAGCCTCTGCTAGCCACACCCAGGAACAAGACACAGACTTGTGCCTGGCCAAATCGGGCAGAGCACAGTCCTTTCTCCTCCCGTTCCTCCAACTCCCCCTATATAACCCATCTCCACACAGAGTTATCTCTCTCTCTGCTTCCTGTCGCTGCGTCGGCAAGGTGGGGGAGCCGAGCTAGCTCGAATACAGACTCTTATGCTTTTGCATCGGACTGGCTGGCTCCCTGATGTGGTTTCTTGGGGATCCTGAAATCTGGGCATAACACCTTTCACTTAATAGGTGCTTATTAAGAATGTGAGTATTGAATATGGGTGATATAGCTGAAGAACTGAGAAGTAAAAGGGTTAGAAATTAGAACAAAAATGGGGAGAAGAGCAGAAATTTTAAACTGTGTGACAGGTATTGAATTAGGGCAAATTACAATGTATTTGTTGCTGTAATTTTCTGTTTGTAGAATATGTCTGTGATGATCAGATTGGATAAAAGTCCAAGAAAGAGACTAAAAAAGGAATCCTTTGCTAAGGTTATAAAATGGTAATAGTTTAAAATATTCTTTTTTGTTCTTGTTGAATCAACTTATATAGAAATAACAAATTATGTAATTATTTGTTTTATTTTCTAGGCGTTTACAGTCCCTAATTAAAAATATTACACTTAGAAGAACCAAGACAAGCAAAGTTAAAGGAAAACCTGTTTTGGAGTTGCCAGAACGTAAAGTATTTATTCAGCATATTACACTTTCAGATGAAGAGAGAAAGATTTATCAGTCTGTGAAAAATGAAGGCAGAGACACTATTGGAAGGTATGGAGAAAACCATTTTAGAAAATAATTTTTGTTTTGCTTTTTTTTTTTGCTTTCAATTTAATGGAATAGCATTCTTAAGATATGTCAGCAATAAAGTCTGAAGTATACTGAAAGATAATCTGCTTTCTTTAACTATATTTTAACTACTTTTTACGAATTAATAATTGAAGTGAATGAATATTATAATTCACCAGGTTATTTCTTTTTTTTTAAAATATATTTTATTGATTTTTTTACAGAAAGGAAGGGAGAGGGATAGAGAGTGAGAAACATCGATGAGAGAGTAACATCGATCAGCTGCCTCCTGCACACCCCCTACTGGGGATGTGCCTGCAACCAAGGTACATGCCCTTGACCAGATTGAACCAGGGACCCTCTAGTCCGCAGGGCGACGCTCTATCCACTGAGCCAAACCAGTTAGGGCTCTTTTTATTTTTTATTTATTGATTTTAGAGACAGAGAAATATTGATGTGTTGTTCCAATTTTTTATGAATTCATTGGTTGATTTTGTGTATTGGGAGGACGCTCTAACCAAATGAGCTACCTGGCCAAGGCTTTTTTTGTTTAAATTAATTTTTTAATTGATTGAAGAATTTCTTAAGTTAGGAAAAAATTCAAAGTTTACATGAAAAGGCAAGTTCTGATTGCTTGCTTCTACTTCCGACTGTTTCATGGGAGTAGATAAAAACAATGAGAGAAGTATGTATATAGGGAAAGTATACCTATTAAGGACCAAAACTTGGGGGATTGTCCACATTCAAGAAAGAAATAAAGAAAGAAATAAGTAAATAAAAAAAAAAATAAGGGAGATTCCAGCAAGTGGAGAAGTGTAAAGAAAGTAGAGAAAACTGTTATAGAATTTTAGGGAAGAGGAGAATCAAGAGAGAATGGTCAGTAGTGTCACAGTACAGACATTTGGAAAAGGCTATTTAATGTGGTGATTCAGAAATTACTGGTGTAAACTCTCAGAGTAGTTTCACTGGAATAATGAATTAAATAGCTATATTGTGGGACTAAGGAGATTGCAAAGAAGTAGCAGCTGTAGGGGTAGACAATTTTTTACAAAGTTTGTAAAATTGAGACTGGTAGATAGGATCAGTATTTTGTTTATGGATCAATTATTTTGATAGTTTTATTTGGTAACTGTCTTGAGAGGGATTGAACATAGAAAAGATTACAGGTACAAAAGAGAATGAAGCAAATTGATGGAGAAGAACGAAGCCTGGGGTGGTAAATACTAAAAAGAATATTAAGAGAACAATCATTGAGCTGTGAAACCAAGGTATTTATGAGATAAGGAAGGCCACCATAAAAAAGTAAGGTTTTTAGAGTGGTAGAAAGGTTTCATGTGGTATTTTCCAATAACACATGGAAATCTGGGAATAGGAGTTGGCCAAGTAGATTAAAGGGGTTGGGGATTAGAAGAATGTGAGAAATTCTAGTCCAAGCAAGGGCATGGTTGATGTTAAATGTCCATAGGAACCAGAATGAGTAGGAGACAAGTGAAGGCAAAACAGGGCTCAGAAAATAGGGGAATCTACAAAACATAAAGAATTTAGGTGAGTTATAAGGTGGGTTTAATAGGAATTAAAGATATTAAGAAAGATTGTTCTAAGCAGGTTTCAAAGTAAAGAGGCACAGAGCAGTTAGGTAAAGTGTATTGTGTCACACAGCTAGTGAATGACAGAGTGGTATTTAAGCTCAGGCATTTTGGTTCTAGAGCTAATAAGTTTAACCTTTATAATATACTGCCTTCCATTCTTGAGTACTTAGAAGTATTTGTTCCCATAATATTACTGTTACTAGTAACAGCAGATATTTTATATCATTTACCATAGCCAGTATTCTAAATACTCTGTCTGCATTTATTAACTTTTTATGACAACAGTCCTCTAAGGTGTGTATTATTACTGTTATGTCACTATTACAAGCCAGGGAAGCTCAAGACAGAGGTTAAGAAACCTGCCCAAGGTTTTGCCCTGGCCAGGTGACTCAGATGATTGAAGCATGAAAAAAAAATCAATAAATAAACTTAGATAAAAATAAAAAGGAACAGAAACCTGCCAAAGTTCATAGTTAAATCGGCAGAGTGAGGTTTTGAATTCAAGACAAGTCTAGCTATAGAGTCTGTGCTCTAATCATTAGGCTAAATTTCTTTTTCTTTTTTTAATTTTAAAAGTATATTCTTACTGATTTCAGAGAGGAAGGGACAGGGAGAGTTAGAAACATCAATGATGAGAGAGAATCATTGATCAGTTGCCTCCTGCACACCCCACACTGGAACTCTCTTGCTCTTTGCTGTTTGTGACTTAATAGATGAATGTTTTGAGTTTTTTCTGGACTATCTATTTGCAAGAGATACATATGAAGGGGACGGGGTCAAAACTGTGTCCAGACTGGAAGGAAATGTCTCTATTTAGTTATGACTTAGGGTTACATGTGAGTTCTTTTAGGTTTTATTCGTGCTCATATAACAGATCAGAAGCTTTAAGTTTCTAATAGTGTGGAATACTGTGTCCATAGTCTTTTCTGTGTGTTTCCTTATTCAGCTTACCTTCACTCCTTCTTGGTGTAAAACTTGTATAGGGAAATTCAAGCCACTAGTTGTGCACCTGGTTTTTGTTTTTGCACATTAGAGAAGTTTATTTCACCCCAAGGCATGGGGTCTATTTTGAAGAACTGTGCTTGGAAGGTCTGTTGAGAGCTGCAGACATGTCTTTTGGCATCTTCCTATCCGACTCATACTGCAGTTGGCAGCTATTTCTCTTATATTTTGCTTTTTTGTTATAAACCATTCCTGGTTTCATTAAAAATAGAGTTTGCTTTTCTGTTTCTTATTCTTGTTTTGTAATTTCTGGAGAATAGAACAATGCAATTTTTATTCTACTGTTTTAGAATAGGAAACATTGTCATATTTAACATTTTTACCTGTAGGTATTTTAATGAAGGGACTGTCCTTGCTCACTATGCAGATGTTCTGGGTCTTCTGCTCAGATTGCGGCAGATCTGTTGTCATGCTCACCTTCTTACCAATGCAGTGTCTTCTAGTGTTCCCTCAGGTAAGTAATTAGGGCTTGTTTACACCATTTTATTTGTTAGAGATACTTAAATCAGAAGGAGACATTTTTCATATACCTAAATTTAGTTTGTCATAGACATTCTTTTTAATATAGAACTCAACTGGGAATATACCCCAAAATCTTATACTAATGAAATGGGATATTAATGAGTTCTTCCACGATTTCCACTAATCGATATTCTTGTATCTACCTTTTATTCTGTGGTAGTATGTGCAGATTGTGTTAAAACGATGCTTCTGTGTAAGGTGTATTATGTGAGTTGGCTACTATTTTAGCTTCTGGATTTTTCTTAAAATTTCAAATTTAAACCATGCTTTTTGCCTTTAATAGAAAAAGTCTAAAACTACCAAAGCAAAACTTTCTCCTGTATAAGGAAGATTAACTTGTCTAGTCATATTACAGATTTGCTCTGAAATTAATTTTTCAGCCTTTTCTCTAGGAAATGATACACCTGAAGAGCTACAAAAAAAGTTAATAAGAAAGATGAAGTTAATTCTGAGCTCAGGTTCCGATGAAGAATGTGCAATTTGCTTGGATTCATTAACAGTTCCTGTCATAACACACTGTGCACACGTCTTCTGTAAACCCTGTATTTGCCAAGTCATCCAGAATGAGCAGGTTTGTTTTATGCTTCATACAGAGTCAGTGTTTGATGGAGTGACGCATTAGTTTTGAATGTAATGGAAACTCAAGTCCAATAGACTATGAGTTTAGCACTTGGATTTACTAATGTACTTTTCATGATTAATTATATCATTGTTTTAATAGGTGATATATTTCTTAAAATTGAAAGCTTTCAACCTAAAAAGACATTATGTGTTTGGTGACATAATTGTTTACATCATTGCTGTCCAATAAATATATAATGTGAGACGCAAAGGTAATTTTCATTTTTTTAGTAGAAACAGATGAAGTTACCTCTTAGAGTATATTTTTATTTATTTAGTATATCTAAAATATAAAAATTATTGAGATACTTTATATATTTTTAACTTAAAACTTTATTAATACAATTTAAGTTCAAATTCCAATGGTATTGTGTACACGTAAAGCACATCTAAATTTGACTTTGTCACATTTCAAGGGCTCAGTTGTTACATGTGGCTGTTGCCTATGGTATTGATTAAGGTACATCTAGATTCTTATGTATGGTAGAATTTTTTGAAGTAAAAAAATCCTTTAAGCAGTCCTTCCACTGAGATAGAATTTTGAAAAACAACTTTGCTGTGTAACATACATATAGAAAAAAATGTACAAGTCATGATTGTACAGCTCAGTAAATTATGAGTGAACACATCCAAGTAAATACTACCTAGGTCTCCTTGGGCTCCTCCCAATCATTTACCCTCTCCCTCCTCCTTAAAGGTAACCCCACTATACTGACTTCTCACGTTGTTTTAGTTTCAGAATCTTTTTTATTATAATGATATTTGGTATGTAGTTATTTAAGAGATAATCTTATTTTATTATCATGTCTTGGTACAAATAGACACAACAGATACTACTTTGAATGAACCAATAGGATTTAACAGATCTAGACTGGCTCTCCAAGCCATTAAGGAGGAAAATTTTTTCCCTTCTAAATAGTTTGAACTGGTATTCTATATTGTAGTTAGGTTGAGGAAACTGTTACTTATGTTTTTTATTTTGTCTGCAGATAGTATATCATTTATTGTTTCAAGTTCTTAATGTTAGTCGAGATCACATATTTTATTCTCTTTTTTTTCCATATCACTGACCACATTAGAATATTATATCGGCCTGGAGTTCAGCACATATGGATTTGTGTCATGGGTGAATCTGACAAAAGGTTTAATAAAATGCTAGCTATTAGAGACATAGAATTGATAAAGCTTTTTAAAAATTCTAGCTAAATTTGTATTTCTGCTCCTCTGATAAGTGTCACTCATATTTTGTTCTTTCTTATGTAGCCACATGCTAAATGCCCTTTATGCAGAAATGATATACATGGAGACAATTTATTAGAGTGTCCTCCAGAAGAACTGACATGTGATACTGAGAAAAAGTCTAACATGGAATGGACATCTAGCTCGAAGGTAAAATATTTGGTTATTTGTTTATGTCAATGTAAAGAAATACCATGTATAAAACTAATAATTATCCTTTAAATTCTGTCATTTGAATATTATACTTTTCAGTGACTATTGGCTTTTTTATTTCTAGTGGTGATTTTCAGAGGAAAAAGGAGGTTTCAGGTTATGAAGTATTCTTTCAGTCTTAATTTTTAAAATTGGTGGTCTTCTACTTTTGCATTTTAGGGAAATAACATAGCACTTTTCTCTTCATAATAAAAAATTTTGGATGCGTTTTGCCAATTCAAAATGGAACCTAATGGGTGTCCAAATTTTTTTCAGATCAATGCCCTAATGCACGCATTGATTGACTTAAGAAAGAAGAACCCCAACATAAAGAGTTTAGTTGTTTCTCAGTTTACAACGTTTCTGTCTTTAATAGAAACACCACTCAGGTAAGTTTAACAGTGTTCCTCACTTTTAGTAAAAGATTTTTATATATGTTTTGATTTGGATAACAAAAAATACTTACGTTTTATCAGTTTTATTCATTCATCTATCTAAAATAAATTTCAGAATCACAATAAAGAATATTTCCTGAGTGCATGGGATTTTAAAGATTAAGTCTGAATTTATTGAAAAAAAATTGACTGCAGAGCCTTACATTGTAGTAGATGGTTAGTAAATATTTGTCAAAATAAATAGAGTGAGAGAATTAGTTGAATAAATACATTGTAATTACTTAACATGTTTTTTTAGTAAAGGAAGTGTTATTTATCTCTTTTGTCCCCTCCTTTAGAGCCTCTGGATTTGTGTTTACTCGTTTGGATGGTTCAATGGCCCAAAAGAAAAGAGTTGAATCAATTCAGTGTTTTCAAAACACTGAGGCAGGATCTCCAACTATAATGCTTCTATCCTTAAAAGCAGGTGGAGTTGGTTTGAATCTTTCTGCAGCTTCTCGAGTGTTTTTAATGGACCCAGTAAGTAATTTTGTAGACTTTTGCTATGTTATTACTTCTATTAAAAAAAGAACAAAAACTATTTGGTAAATACCTATGTAGTTATAATTGTGAAAATTCCTTAGGCAAACCTTAGAAATAGATAATTACTTTCCAAGTTAGATTACAACCAGAGCCATATTTAGGCATGCAAGGGTTTCACATTAATGTCATGGATGGCAGTGGTCTGTTGTATTTTCTTGCCTTAGTTTTGTGAATGAAGTTTTAAATCTGTTATAATTTTATTACTTTATGGTTATATAGATAGTCATTGTATCTACAGATTGTTATATATTAACCCAATGAAAATTCTAGAGACTGATTTTAGAACAAATTCCAAAATTATTTTATTTTTTGGTTATGATCTTAGTACTTGATAAGAAAGAAGCTATTAATATCAAATAGAGTAATTTAATTAGTATTATAATTAGTATTATAAAGTTTATCAGAGACTAGACCCTTTAGCAGTTATAGTAATACTTACTGGATGTTTTAGCAGTTTTTGTACTCCTCACCCAAGGATATGTTTTTATTTTTGTATTTGTTGACGAGAGAGAGAGAGAGAGAGAGAGAGAGAGAGAGAGAGAGAGAGAGAGAGACTTGTTGCCTTCTGTACTCATCCCTGACCCGGAATCAAACCTGCCACCTTTCAGTGTGTGGGACAACACTCCAACCAACTGAGCCACACCAACCAGGGCTTAACAGTTTTATAATAAGTTGATTGTTTGAGAATTTCAAGCTTTCAAATGTTGTTTCTAACTTTAAAACAAAAGCCAGGTCCCCAAAAATAAGATTCAATCAGAAAAAATTGCTCATGAAAATCTTTTACCTTGTTGTAGGAGAGTTAAAGTTTCTTTCGATGTGTAGTTATGAGCTTTGGATAAAGTTAATTGCTTCATCACTCGTGAGATTGGGAGCTATCAGTTTTATACTTTCATGAGATAAATTTGATTCCTGGTTGTCATACTAGATATATTATTGCGAGCTCACCATAAAGTTTCTAGACAAATACAGGCAATGGAAAGGAACATTTTACCTGGGCTCTTGGCATAATGGTTTCAAAATGTGTCCAATTGTGAAATAGAAAAAATTCACAAAATTTGATTTCAGTTTTAGAAAATCATAAACTGAGTATATCCTCAAATCCAACTTTTATACCAAAACACCCAAAACTCAAATTTCAGCAAGTTAATAGTAAAATCTTTTTCCTTGATCTCAAGGGAACTTTAAAAAGAAGAAGATAAAGCCATAAAAGTAAAAATCATGCTGTATAAGTGTTCCTTTTCCCCAAAACATTCTGTTTTCAGTTTCAAGAATCATCCCATAGTTTAAATTTTTAATTTTTTTAATTTATCTTTATTGTTGAAACTAATACAGATGGACCTTTTCCCCCCATTGACCCCTTCTAGCCTGCCCCTGCCTTCCCACCCCAGGTCTTCACAACACTATTGTCTGTGTCCATGGGTTATGCATACCTATACTAATAAAAGGGTAATATGCTAATTAGACCGGGAGACCGGACGTCTTCCTACCGTTCAACTTCCTTCTGGACAAAGCCACGGTGGTGTGGGCTGAGGCAGAGGCAGTTAGGGGCGATTAGCCAGCAGGGGAGGGCAGTTGGGGGCCATGAGGCCGGCAGGGGAGGGCAGTTGGGGGCCATCAGGCTGTCAGGGGAGTGGTTCAGCAGCGAACGAGCCTATAGGCAGGCAAGTGGTTAGGAGCCAGCGGTCCCAGATTGCAAGAGGGATGTCCGACTGCCGGTTTAGGCCCCATCCCGCAAGTGGTTAGGAGCCAGTGGTCCCAGATTGCGAGTCGGACATCCCTCAAGGGATCCCAGATTGGAGAGGGTGCAGGCCGGGCTGAGGGACCCCCCGCCCCCGTGCACGAATTTCGTGGACCAGGCCTCTAGTATGCTTATAAATTCTTTGGTTAATCTCTTAACTGGCTTATTTTGCTTAGCATAATACTCTCCAGGTCCCTCCATGCTGTCTATAGTTTAAATTTAAAACTACCCTGACAATTCATGCTATTGTTTAAAAACCACTTGTTTCTTATCTTTCTAGTCTACTGTTGAAACCTGCCATTGTGTTCTTTTATTTTTTTTTTAATTTGAATTCTTTATTGTTTAAAGTATTACATGAGTCTCCTTTTTTCCCCATTGAACTCCCCCCAGCCGCTCCCACCCCCCAGCACATGCCCTCACCCCTTACTGTCTGTGTCCATTGGTTATGCTCACATGGATGCATATAAGTCCTTTGGTTGATATTTACCTCCTCATACCCCGCCTTCCCTCATAGGTTGTACAGTCTGTTGCATGCTTCTATGTCTCTGGTTCTATTTTTGTTCATCAGTTTATGTTGTTTATTATATTCCACAAAGAAGTGAGATCATGTGTTATTTATCTTTCTCTGACTGGCTTATTTTGCTTAGCATAATGCTTTCCAGTTCCATCCATGCTGTTGCAAATGGAAAGAATTCCTTCTTTTTTACAGCAGTGTAGTATTCCATTGTGTAGATGTACCACAGTTTTCTAATCCACTCATCTGCTGATGGGCACTTAGGCTGTTTTCAAATCTTAGCTACTGTAAATTGTGCTGCTATGAACATGGGGGTGCATATATCCTTTCCGACTGGTGTTTCTGATTTCTTGGGATATATTCCTACAAGGGGGATTACTAGGTCAAATGGAAATTCCATTTTTAATTTTTTGAGGAAACTCCATACTGTTTTCCACACTGGCTGCACCAGTCTGCATTCCCATCAGCAGTGCATGAGGGTTCCTTTTTCTCCACATTCTCATCAGCACTTGTTACTTCTTGATTTGTTGATGATAGCCATTCTGACAGGTGTGAGGTGGTACCTCATTGTTGTTTCGATTTGCATCTTTCGGATAATTAGTGACTTTGAGCATTATTTATATGTCTCTAGGCCTTCTGTATGTTCTCTTTCGAAAATATCTATTTAGGTCTTTGCTTATTTTTTTATTGGATTGTTTATCTTCCTTTTGTTAAGTTGTATGAGTTCCCTATAAATTTTGGAGATTAAACGCTTATATGAGATAATATTGGCAAATATGTTCTCCCATGCAGTAGGCTTTCTTGTTTTGTTGATGGTTTCTTTTGCTGTACAGAAGCTTTTTATTTTGATGTAGTCCCATTTGTGTATTTTCTCCTTAGCTTCCATTCTCCTAGGAGCTGTATCGGTAAACATATAGCTATGACATATGTCTGATATTTTGCTGCGTATGGATTCTTCTAAGATTTTTATGGTTTCCAGTCTTACGTTTAAGTCCTTTATCCATTTTGAGTTTATTTTTGTGTATGGTGTAATTGGTGGTCTAGTTTCATTTTTTTGTATGTATCTGTCCAATTTTCCCAACACCATTTATTGAAGAGACTGTCTTGACTGCATTGCATGCTCTTGCCTCCTTTGTCAAATATTAATTGAGCATAATGGCTTGGGTCAATTTCTGGGTTCTCTGTTCTGTTCCATTGGTCTATATTTCTCTTCTTGTGCCAGTACCAGGCAGTTTTGAGAACAATGGCTTTGTAATATAGCTTGATAGCTGATATTGTTATCCCTCCAACTTTGTTATTCTTTCTCAAGATTGTTGCAGCTATTCAGGGTCTTTTTTTTTATTCCAGATAAGTTTTTGGAGAGTTTGTTCTAGGTCTTTGAAATATGCCATTGGTATTTTAATGGGGATTGCATTGAATCTCTGGATTGCTTTGGGTAGTATGGACATTTTAATGATGTTGATTCTACCAATCCATGAACACAGTATATTCTTCCATTTGTTTATATCTTCCTCTATCTCTTTTTTTAGCGACCTGTAATTTTCTGAGTACAGGTCCTTTACCTCTTTGGTTAAGTTTATTCCTAGGTATCTTAATTTTGTTGTTGCAATAGTAAGTGGGATTGTTTTTTTAGTTTCTCTTTTTGTATAAAAATAGCCATACAAAAAAGCCATATTGGTGTATAAAAAAGCCATAAATTTTGGGGTGTTAAGTTTGTATCCTGCTACATTGCCGAATTCATTGATTATGTCTAGTAGTTTTTTGATGGAGTCTTTAGGGTTTTCTATGTACAATAGCATATCATCTGTGAATAATGATAATTTTACTTCTTTTTCAATCTGGATTCCTTTTATTTCTTCTTCTTGTATGATCACTATGGCTAGCACTTCTAGTACTATGTTGAACATTAGTGGTGAAAGTAGGCATCCCTGTCTTGTTCCTGTTCTTAGGGGAAATGGTTTTAGTTTCTGCCCATTGAGTATGATGTTGGCTGTAGGTTTGTCATATAAGACTTTTTTTTTTTAAATATATTTTATTGATTTTTTACAGAGAGAAAGGGAGAGGAATAGAGAGTTAGAAACATCGATGAGAGAGAAACATCGATCAGCTGCCTCCTGCACATCTCCTACTGGGGATGTGCCCGCAACCCAGGTACATGCCCTTGACCGGAATCGAACCTGGGACCTTTCAGTCCGTAGGCTGACGCTCTATCCACTGAGCTAAACTGGTTTCGGCAATATAAGACTTTTATTATGCTGAGGTATGATCCCTCTATTCCCACTTTGCTGAGCATTTTTATCAGAAAAGGATGTTGGACTTTGTCAAATGCCTTTTCTGCATCCATTGATATGATTATGTGATTTTTGTCTCTCAATTTGTTTATGTGATGTATCACGTTTATTTATTTATTTATTTATTTTAAAATATATTTTATTGACTTTCTACAGAGAGGAAGGGAGAAGGATAGAGAGTCAGAAACATCGATGAGAGAGAAACATCGATCAGCTGCCTCCTGCACATCCCCCACTGGGGATGTACCCGCAACCAAGTCACATGCCCCCGACCGGAATTGAACCCGGGACCCTCCAGTCCGCAGGCCGATGCTCTATCCACCGAGCCAAACCAGTCAGGGCTGTATCACGTTTATTGATTTGCAGATATTGTACCAGCTTTGCATCCCTGGAA